ACATTATCTACAACTGAAGAGTACATGGCAGTAGCTGAAGCTGCTAAAGAAGCCTTATGGCTTGCTGGGCTAGTAAAGGAACTGGGTGTTGAGCAAAGTGGAGTTCAGTTGCATTGTGGCAGTCAGAGTGCTATTTATCTGGCTAAGAACCAGGTGTACCATGGAAGAACCAAGCACATTGATGTCAAGTATCACAAGGTCAGAGAATTGATTATTTTTGGGGAGATATTGTTGCAGAAGGTTCATACTAATGAGAATGCAGTTGATATGTTGACCAAGCCAGTTACTATCAACAAGTTTTTGCATTGCTTGGACTTGTTGAATGTATGCAGTTGCTAGAGAAACATGGTGGCCCAACCCACTTCTGGTATGAAAGGAACTCCATGACGTATTTCTCGTAAGAGGCTGGATATTCGCCAAGCTGGAGATTTGTTAGATATAGCTCATATACCATAAATGGACAGTGCTAAATCAGCAGCGGAGCAGAGCAGATGATTCTGTCCAAATCAGTGGAGCTTCCTTATGTGGGTTGGGGGTGTGGTACAGGGGTAATTTGGTAATTATATATTGTACCCAAGGTTTCCTTTTTTTACCCAAGGTTTCCTTTTTATATAATTTTTAGGGTTATAAATTAGGCTTGTATGTAACCCTAGGGATAATCTCTGAATCCCTGAATTCTGTATTTTTTTCTGAATTAGTGAAAAGCCATCGCTCTGCTCCCGATGACGTATGCATCTTTGTCTAACCTCGTTAAATCTCTGTGTTCTTCTGGATTTGTTCCATTCTTATTTTTCTTCGCCCTAATTTCTCAACACTTGCCTTGATCTCTTCCATAAGTGTCCTAGATAGAGACCATGCAAGAGTTTCCACTATTGGTCCCCTTAATTTGAGCATCTTAGGCCTAACTCAAATTTTTTTTTTTTTTTTGCGGAGAAAAATGAATTGGGTGCATATGCACCCATCTTTTTGTTTCATGCAACTTAGTTGGGCGCCTAAAAATCAATCATGGGGAGCATAAGCACCCTGTTTCTGTCTACAGAGATCCATGCAAAGTTTTGGCATCTATGTACCAATTGGGGGTGTCTAAGTGCCACCATCTCGGGTTGGCACAAGAAAATAGTGCCAACATAGGAGTTGGCGCCTATGCACCAAAAGAGGGACGCATATGCATTCCCTCTCACTATGAGCACCCTTTTTGGGGGTTTAAGCACCAATGGGGTGGTGCCTAAGAACCACTCCTAAAAAAATCTTCATTTTTTTTTTTTAAAATTTTGGTCTTTTCTTCCCTTCTTTGCTGAAGCTTTGCGCAGAGGATTTTAATAGATTTATAAATTTATGAGATGTAATACTATGATCTACCTACTAATTGATTATAGACTTAGTATAAATTAAGGGTAACTCATGAATCATGATCATATGAGATGTAATCTCTCATATTTTAGTATGATCATGCTTCTATGTTTGACCCAACTCACACATTCAAAAGTCCATGTTAGTTTTTCCATAGTAATATGCACTTATGCTTTTTCTAATTTTTTTGGACACTTTTGTAGATTTTTTTTATATTGAGTTATTATATATATATATATATATAACTTAAAATGATTGCATGTACTTTCTTAACACTACTTTCTAATTATAAGCAAAGTGGAGATATGAGATATACGAGAACTAAAGTTTCGGAGATCCTTGCACGTCACAATCCCATCGTTGCCTTTGAAGCTTGCACACACTAGCAACTCAGTATTTTATATGTTTTGAGTGAAACCTGGAGACACAATACTGTGAGCGACTAGAGAGAAACACATCCACCCACACATAGGATTGTGTTTCAAGTCATTGAACGTGCATGGATACCCAATCACAACCTCCAAACACATCCACCTCACCAAAACACAAACACCATCAAACAACACCACCTCCACATTCACGCACCAACCACCCTTCACCACCACATCCACATCCTTCAACCCAAACACATCAACCCCCACATGCACCATATAAACAACATAACTAACATCAACCAAATGTATATAATTTGTTATCAACCGAAAGATTAACCGAAAGAGACCAATTTGCACGTGATTACAAGTCATTGAACGTGCATTTGAAACCAAGAGTGATTTCACCAATCAAGAACGTAAAAGAGCAAGCATAAAATCGAAATCCAACATTAAAACCGAAAACCAACACCCATTTCCAAATCATTGCATATGGGATTCCCAAAAATCTCCAAAATCCAATATCAACCGGAAATCAATTAACCATAAGCAATTGTCAAGTAAAAAACTAGAAAATTCTTGAGCACAGTAAGCATTAACCAACGAGAAAAGGAACTACCACACAGAGAAAACTATCAAATTTTCGGGCATTAACATCAAAAGTCACATACAATTTAGGGTATAGATTGCCCAACACAAAGAAGAACTACACAGAAGAACAACAGTAGAGAGGAAACCACAAAATTTTCAACCATATAAGTATTTCTAAAAACAAAAACAATATCATAGTTAAGATAAGAATTACCCAACAATAAGAGGCACTAGAACACAAAGGAACCACCACACAAATAAGAAGGCATCACAACAAGAAGACACAATAGTTAAAATTAGAATCACGAGAAAGAGATAGAGAGAAAGAGAGAGAACTCACATTTTCCACGAGAATCGTTGAGAGAGAGGCAACCCTATCCGTGAGAATCACACAAGAAAGATGAGTTTAAGGCAAGTATCACGAGAGAGAATGGCGGAAGAGGAGCACACAGTTAGAGCAAAACGAGAGAACGAACCGTGACAATGAGTACAGGGGCAACGGGGTCACAAATATATGATGGAACATGGGTCGCTGGATCATAGCCCAAATCACATTTTCTTTGATTTTTTTTTTTAAAAAGTCATGTTGCGAGTCACCAAATGGACCAGTGTGTTTCCATGCCACGCCGCATCTCTACTGCAACCCCAAACGGGCCCTAAATTTGAACGAAATAGAGGCATTGTGTAAAAATAATTATGAAAAAGAAGTTTATTAAACCGAATAAAATTCAAATTTAAAATATTAAAACAAATCCAAAACCCTCCAAAACAATCCCAAATATAATTAAACTTGAATATCAAAATTTATATTTCAAACTGAAAAGTAAATACTAATATTCTATTTCAAAATTAAAATTTTATTATTTTTCTCCTCACAATCGCTTAGAAAATTTTAAATTAAATTAAATTAAATTAAATATATCACACTCAATTTATTTTCTAAAAAAATTTAATTTTCTAATCATAATATTATTCAAATTTTCAGTTTACTTAATTTAATACACTTATGGTCAGAAATCTGAATATTCAAAATTTAAAACAAAAAAAAGAAAATCGAATCTTTCTTGTTAAAACAAAACCGAGTCTACTAATGTTTCAAACAATGCACAAGCTCAAGTACCTCTTATTTGAAAGAAAATGCAGATAGCCGTGTAAACGAGCCGAACACGAGCGAGCCCAGGCTCAGCTGGAGTTCAGCTCGCTCATATTTTAAGCTCAAAAAGTTTGTTCGTGTTCGGCTCACTTGCTTAGCGAGCTGAACATGAGCTATTCACGAACAAAGAGTTATTCTGACAACCTTAATCACGTAGCAATAAGCTGTTTAAGATTGAGGCAAAATTTAAAACATCGTTTGAATATTAAATTATTCTATTTTCTTAATTAATACTTTTAATTGATTATAAATCTTTATAGCATTGTAGTCAATTAATTTTTTTAAAAAATACTAATCATCAAATAAATAAATAAATAAATATATATATATATAATTGATTAGTAGTATTTCGAGCCAAAACAAGCCGAGCATAAACGAACAAATATTTGTTCGTGCTATTCGTGTTCGGCTCATTAACTTAGCGACTGATTCGAACACGAGCTTCTTAACGAGCCGAACACGAAATGTTCGCGAACAACAAGTCGTTTTGACAGCCCTAAATGCAGTGGTATCGCAAAATAGAAAAGTGCGTTACTGGAAATGAAGCATTTTTCAGAGAAAATATCAACTTAGCAAGTGGTATTCTAATAAATTAGTCTTTACTAATCTACAATGTGCTATTTCATTATACAGATAATAATAATACAAGCAATAACCACAAATATAAAAAAACTAGTTAACCAAAAAAAAATTAACAGAAGTACTTCACACATCTATATTTCATTCACGAGGTGGGCATCTTGAAAATACATTCAATTAAAAAATGCACAAAAAATAAAAATAAAAATAAATAAATAGGCTTTTTACAGGTTTAGATATCTTCAATGACCATACAGAGAGTAACCAAAACCCTACTAATTCAATTTGAATGGTTGGTATTGACTTCTTCTTCAAAATCAGTAATATATTAAAACAAAAAGCATGTAAAACTATTCCCAGTCATCTAAACTGAATGGGCGGGATGAGCATCTGCACCTTGTGATGATTGGAATCACCACAAACACAAAGTGGACATCAATGCCTCAGTAAGCCAAGAAGAATTAACTCACCTAAACCAAATAGAATTAGGGGCATTTATGCGCATACCACACAATTCTAGTATATTAACATGTCTAACAACTTCTCAACATCAAAGCGTTATAAATGTAAATATCAAACTTTTGCTGTTAGATTTGTAAGAAAATGGGAAATTGTGTGGTATGTATCTAAAGTTTACATAAATCCATAGTTGAATAAAAAACATAAATTTGCATAACCAATAAAACACAACAAGTTTAAGCTTAGGGTGAAAACCACCCGCAACATCTCATCAAAATTATAATAAACAAAAGCATGACAATTTCAAATCTAAAGGTTTTACAAACTTTAAAAAAAATAAGACTCTTCAGACAATCGCAAAGCAGCAGAAACAGCAGTAGTGTCAACCGCAGCAGGCAGCGGTTGCAGCAGCAGCAGCAGAAGCAGCAGCAGCAGAGCATAAGCAGCCGGACTGAAGCAGTGAAGCAGTAAATCACAACAACATTAAGGAAAAAAATATTTTAAAATTGCAATGCAAGTGTATCACATGATCCTTTTACCGTAATGATGATTAAAAGAGGGGGATTTACATACATAACACCAACTTATTATGAAATATACAGGAAAAGATATGTTTTACTTCTAATAAGTTAATATTAGTATTACTTTTTATATTGTTTAGAAATTAGAATGTTCTACAAAATAAATATAAAGAGTTAGGCATTATAGGAGTTTAATATGTAAATACATAAGAATTCAATGGTTCCTAGCACAAAAATTATAGAGCTGGAAACTAAAATTTAAATTTAACACTTAAGGGTATGCGTGTAGGGTTCACATATCAAGTTCCATTCATAATAATTGGTAGAACAACAGCCGCCTCGTTTATGTCTAAAGATAATTTTTTAAGAAGATTGCAGCCATAAAATCTAGCTTCCATAAAAACTTTATCTCAATTTCATCATGATTGATTTACATTGCAAAACAGAAATGAAGATCTGCACACTTCACACAAATGATCTATTTACTCCACATCCTTCAAATCTACTAATAAATAAATTGAAAAAGAAAAGGCAATATCATCCAGTTTAAGTATATTAAGTAGGTTGGCTGAAAAGAAAAATCTAGTTAGATGAAAAATGTACAACAGGTGAACCAATTTATGGAAATTTTGCTTAAGAACTTCAACTGGTATCTGAAATGGATATGAAAACTAAAAAAAAGGAGAAAGAACGCTATTGTTCTTCATAAATCATCATCATTTGGATCCAATTTTGAGTATCCTTCTCCACTCATTTATGTTGATTAAAAAATGAAATGTTAATAAGCTGTGCCCTCTGGAAAAGTTATGCCCCACGGTCACATTCTATTTTGAATTTAAATCATCCAATTTTTACATTATAAAGCGACATTAAAAGGCATTTTATGTAAAACTGCTTTCATAGCCCATTGAATTTTTCAAAGGAAAAGCATTCAAACTAAATGGTGTTAAAGCATCCAGGGTATCATGATTCCAAACAGCCAACCAAGGAATATCTTGGAGAAAACTTCATGCAAATTCTAATTTGCAGTTGGAGCATTTTCCATTTTACATGCAAAATCTGTTCCATTTGGTATTAGCCTATTACCATCAAGACATTGCTTAATCGGAAAAATAATAAAATAAACAAAATAGAATGTACATTTTTGTAAAAAAATTTACAGTTCGTTCATAAGAATTCAACATTATTCAAGGCAAAAGTCCACTCCCAAGCACAATAAAACTGCAGGTTCTAAAAAGAGTAGAACAACGGTTGATGGTTGTGGTTTCCCGTTCAATTACCAAGGCTTACCAAAATATTATTTGACAGACATTCTAAAATAGCATGGCGTAGAACAAAAATGGTGCCACTAAGCAGTGAGAAGGATCATAAAATGCATATGATAATCACTTTAACAGGGAAGCTTCTGAGTTTAATGTAAAAAAGAACAATTTTTCAATTTTATATGGCAAGCTAGATTAGCAAAATAAACTTTTTAAAAAGAAAACCAAACCTAATAAAATAGTGGCTGCATTTTGATACTGCTCTAGAGCTCTATTTCTCAGCACAGCGAATATTGGGGTGATAAAAACGGCAAACGTCACGATGACAAATTCCACGATGAAAATCACGACATATCTCAACTTGATTGTCAACGACCTATCATAGGCACCAATGGATCAATCCATAAGCACAAGCAACTTATGTGAACAAGAATAAATAAATGAAAGATTTACATGGGTACCACTCAATTCTTATGTATTTACATATCTGATATCTAAACTTAATTTTTTTGCATATATGTCACCTTACTTATGCATGAAAGGTATTTCACTCATTAAAAGTTAAAAATAGTGGTATTTTTTAGGTGATATGAAAGTTTTGGGTTGCCTAAATGTAAAAACTAAAGATTCAGCGTTAGATATGCAAAAAAATAAGTATTGGTTGGTATGTATGTAATAGATATGTAAATACGTAAGTATTGGTTGGTATGTATGTAAATGTCCCTAACTTGATTATAGAACGCATAGAAAGAAATCATGGATTCTTGAGAAAATCTTTATACGCACCTTTGTTTGTGAATTTGGATGGGCATATTTACAGGAATCCCGTTGACAAGCATTTTTTAAAAAATCCCTGCAAACTGATACCGTTTTTTGTTCTGCATGATGTCAAAAATATTACTGGTAGTGAATTAGTCGGGAAAAAAAAATGCTTTTTCTTTCCAGTAAAGAGAAAAAGACCAAATGGTTCCACGACCATTTGAGTGAGTTAATTAAGTCCTAGACTATGAAAAGACTCGATTGATACAGTCCAAGCAGATTTTTCATTGTAATTAGGGCAAACACAATACTTTATGTCACCAACACCATACAACTCACACAAATACATAAAGAATAAGCACCTACAATACAAGAGTTGGGCGATCTCTCCAAAATCCTACAATTCGAGAGGCAGGTCTCTCCGAAACCCTAACCCTGAGACACAATACAACAATCTCATTAATAACCCTAACATGAAACATATTAGCCTTATTTATACTAAATAATATTAAATAATAAAAGACTAAATTTCCCTTAGGCGCACAAAAGAAAAAATTGCCCTTACGCGTGCAAAAGAAAAAATTTCCCTTAGGCACCGATGAACAATATTCCCATCCTAAAAAGACACATTGTCCTCAAGGTCGGGAAAAAGAAAACCGCAGGTGGATCAAGTCATGTGACGCCCGCTTATAAAATGGCTTTATTATGGTTCTCGCCATCAACACTGATACAATTGTCATGACCTTCTTTAACTTCTCAAAAATCAAGATCATCACTTTCCCCACTGAAAGTTATCATCCTTCAATATCTTCATCCATAGCCACACAATCAAGTTACCACCCATCACGAACTTCTGGTAGCATCATGTAAGTTTCATAAACTTTCTCAACGCTATGCCTTAGATAGTGGCCCCTCAAACATAGTCGCCGTCTTCGATGAATCTGCTGAAACCTAGGTTTCTGACAAGCTAAGGTCACCGCAAAGCACTATATTCCTCCCCTCCACCCTAATCTCCATAGTCAAGAATCCAATCCACCTTCGCTCACTGATCGTCTGTAGCCACTTGATTCCCAGAATCATAATATAAGTATCTCACAAGTACAAGGGAAGAAAGTCCTCCACCACATATATGCCCTGTAGTGTCAACGCCAATCCCCCACAAATTCCTATGTTTTTCTCCATCTTCCATGTCCCCATCATAACCACAAAACTTCTTGTATCTACCAACTCTCAACTGGTCCACGACCCATTTTGAGATGAAGTTGTGAGTGGACCCACCATCCACCAACACCACTATCAGTTGCTACCCAATCTGTCCCCAAATTTATGATGTGACGTGGAATAAACTCCACTACTGAGTTGAGGGACACCATTGCTACATCTAGGTGTAAGTGCTCCCCTCTTTCCACCACTTCTTCCCCAAGCTCATCACTATCTGCCTCCTCCCTCTCACAAACTAAGAGAGCTGGAGAGTGCAATTCTTGCACTGATGATCCGGGGCATATTTCTCATCAGATCAAAAATATAATCCATTTGTTCTATTGTCTTGCACTTCTGTCTCTGTGAGACTCTTCATGTTTTCCCCGGAACTGGCCCCGTAGTCCTCTCCTTCGACACCTCTTTTTGAAATGACACGGCCCGGGACTTCATGTCATAGTCGTCATGTGTACTCGTGGAATCCTCCTGTGGTGTCACTTTTGTTGGTATTCTTTATCTGGTTTTTATTTTCCACCATTTGAACGAGTTCCATCGTCTCTCTCACTCCCCGCGATCTCAATAATCAGAGTGTTACTTGTATGTCAGCCTTTAGGGCTTCATGAAGTTCACCTCCAAACCTGCTTTAGAAATGCCCAACTATCCCGAAAATAGCTTGAATCTCTACCTATATGCTATGACAGCCCCCTCCTGAGCCAAGACATAGAATTGCTCATGTAGGTCTCCTTTTACAATGGCTCGAAAACGTTCCAACAAAAAATACATAAATTCCTCGCACAAACAGATCGAGTATCTAACCACCCTCAACTTAAACCATGCTAGAGCTTGCCCCTCCAAGCATAAACTCTGTCGACATGAGTTTCTCCACCTCATTTATCCCATTCATTATGAAATATCACTCCACCGGTACAACCACTCATGTGTGTCTTCCCCCTCGAATATTGATATCTTCAACCTTCTACCTTAGCATCTCCAGCCCAATTTCCTCTCTCTGGTGTCCCCCCTGCATATATCTGAGGGAAAACTTCCTCCTTCAAACACAATTATACCCCATCCCGACTTCTCTCCTTCCTATTTCATGCTCCTCCCAACCTCATGCATAACCCCTCTATGTTTTGACCCAACCCGCTCCATCGAAAATCTCTAATCCATCAGTCCTGTGGGGGATTTCTTGATGATGCATGATTTCCTCCTCATGTCCCTCACATTTGACCTCTTCCCCTTTCAGTCAAGCCATAAATTCTTCAGTCAACCCTTGGTTAAGGTTTGCAAATTGAAGCACTGGCGAGGTTTTGGATTGCATCTCAATAAGCTTCCTTATCATCCCTTCATGTTCTCGAATCGGTTGTCAATGGAGAACTTTTCCTCTATTCCAGATTAAAGTTGTCCTACTCATTCCAATATCTCAGCGGGTCTTACTTCGGATAGATGTAATGGTGCCAGCCCATGATCACTTCATTGGCCTCAACTATCTTGGATCGCTACTATTTCACGAGGCTAGGTCAGAAAAGCGATTTTGGAAGCTGTTATTTGTCCTAGCTAGCTTGTATTGCGGTTGTTTCTCCATATTAGATCAGAAAGGCGATCATGTCATTTGTAGCTAGCTCCAATCGCGGTTGTATCATGAGTCAATTGGCACACTGTACTTTGTGGTCCCATGGTTTGTTTCCTTGGGTGCAACAATCCTTCCTGATCACTGGCTTTGTACGTCGTGATCTCGTTGTTCCAGCTAGTTCAAATCATGCCATATGGAGGTAAACCATGATCCCGTAGTCGCTTCCCAATTAGCTCTATCTCAACTATATCGTATGTATGCCCAGATCCTGATTTCCGCAATCTTTATGTGGTTGAAATCCTATAGTGGACTTCCCAGCAAGCTCTAATCATGTTTTATCGCAAGGTCACTATCGCGAAGGCGTGTGCCCATACACACCGCAAACCCAACCCTGGCTTCCCAACAACTATTTCACATACTTTCTTCTTGTTGGCATGAGTAAAACCCTATATGCCACGATCCCTTTGTTTCCCGGAAATTCCTAAAAATTGATAGCTCTTATACCAATTTAATACAATCCAAGCCAATTTTTCCACAAAAATTAGAGCAACAACAACAACAATCCTTTATCATGAATCTTTTTTTCCAGAAAAATTAGAGCAAACACAATATTTTATTTCATCAAAACTGAATCAAAGTAATACAACACTGAACAACTCACATGAATACACGAAGGATAAGTACCTAAATTCGAGAGGTTGGCAATCTCTCCCAAATCCTACAATTCAAGAGGTAGGAAGTCTCTCCCAAAATCTAACCCTAACACTCAAGACAATAATCTTCTACATAACCTCAACCTTAAATATATTAGCCCTATTTAACACTAAACAATAATAAATAATAAAAGACTAAATTGTCCTTAAACGCACAAATAGCAAAATTACTTTTGTACCGGTGTAACATCAACTTAGAATCCAAACTCTTTAAACAAGGATGAAAATAGTATTGCCATTCAAAGTAATGGAAATTAAAGTTACTAATGTTATAAATAAAAGATACTTTAAGAAAATATACTTTCTTAATTTTTTTTAGTAAATTAATTTCTTACTAAACTTATTTTTTCAAGTATAATAGTTGATTTTGCGTATAAATTGAGTGGAGTAAGATTTTGCAAGTTGCTAAGTCAGCTAACTTTTTAATAAATAATTTTATTTAACATTTTTGTTATTTTGATTCTATTGTAATAAAAAATTAAATTTAATGTATGTTTTTACAATAGAATCAAGATGAACGAAATATAAAATAAATTATTTATTATAAACATCAACTTAATTTGCAACCTACATGATCCCAGCCTACTCTAATTATATGCAAAGTTATCAACTGTACACGAGAAAATAAGATTTACTACAAAAATAAAAAAAAGGACTTATATTCTGTTAATTAAGATAACAAGACCATGTTTAAGAGTTCAAGGCTTAAATCAGGCCTTATTTTGAACCTTGTTTAAATAGTATGGATGCTAAATCAAACCTTTTACCTAATTTGATTAAAATGGCCCATCACAACTAATCGTGAGACCATTTTGGTCCTTTTTTCATTAAGTAATATTCATTTTCATGATTTATTAAAGGCAACAAACTTTGATCATTAATAAAATGTACATTGAAATGAGTCTGCATTTAGCATCATACCTGTCTCAGGTGGAGGAGGAGAACGAGAAAGCTTAATTAATGTTCCATTCTGCTGCAAATAAACCTATACACATACCCACACACACACACAAATGAAAAAAAGGTCAAAGTTGTACGGGAAAAGAATATGACTTTGAAACTCGGATAACAATGAAACGGTCCGAATACTTGATGACTACTACTATTTAGAAGATAGGATTGTCATCAAAGCCATTTACCATAACCTTGAAGCTCAAATATGGAATAATAATGAACTTTATGCTCTTTGGGTGAGACAAGGATGTTTCGGCTTCCTTTGACAAGGTAACTTTAAATTTCCCTTCACACTATATGATGGATAACATGACAGTGCATACAGTGTCAAACATGCAACCAACGAAAAAATGTTCATTTCTAAAGTGTAACAAAATCATGATTAATCTTACTTTCATTGTAGTGTGGCAAAACAAGAAGTTTAAAACTTTTACCCGATAAAATTAATACCGAGAAAAAATCAAGTTGGGCAAAAATAAAAATTGCATACTTACGAAGCAGCAGATTTCTTTTTATATCTTATAAAAATTCGTTTGTGTACCTCAGATTGTGGAATAAGATGAAAATATCTACAGCTGTCACGCTTACAAGCATTCTTCAAGAAGTCCTTGCATACTGGTATAACATCTGGATCTATAAGTGCATAATCACAAAATCAGCAAACAGTACCTTGCATTTCAAGTAAATATTCTTTAATAGACGCTCTTTTGGGTACCATTTAAGAAATACTAATTCTAAATAAATTCCAAGCTATTAAAAAAAAACATGATTTTGGTATCTTCATCTTTCGAAAGAAAATAACCTGATTCAGTAGCAGATTAGAATTAAATCTTAAACTGAAAACAGTTTATGAAGCTAGTGCACTAAAAATAAACCATTTTCTCTAGTGAAACTTCATATTAAATGATAAGATATGGAACCACATTTTTCTAATATCAAGCCTACAAATGCCAAACAAAGAAAATAAAGCCTTCTCCCTTTCCTTAAAAAAAACGCACGAAAATTAGGTAACCAAGTGAACATACATAAAAGTGTTTCTGTCGGAATTGCGCCATTTTCCACAAGAGTAGAACTGTGAAGCACAGGTGATAATCCACGACGCAAATGACCCTTGAAAGAAAAAGGAAAACAGAAATTGATAGAGATGAATGAAAAAAAACATAATAATTAAAATTTAAAAAAAAAACTGCTACAAGAAAATAGAAGTTATCTTGAAAACAAAGTAATAAATCAGCATCAGCCTAAGTAGCCTTTCATCAAGGCAAATCTATATTAACAATGCTGCTGAATTTGCATTGCATGTTGAGTTAATTATAAATAAACCTATTTTATAGCCCTCCTAACCATTTTGCCTTTGGCCTGCTAAAGTCAATTTCCAATTATGTTTCCCTAAAAATTACTATGTAATCTTTGAAAATAGATTAGCCTTAGTTTATAATAGAAAATAATCTATCTAGAAGTATTAAATCAAATTTAACAGTAATTATATGCTCTTCAAAAATAAATGCAATTCCACAAAAAGAAATTAGATGTTCTTCAGAAATTTATTTCCTTCAATATCACATGTAATTACATAAAATGATACTACCTTCATCAAAGTAAACAGTCATGGCCAACTTTAAATGGATCCCACTAGTGTTTAGAAAACTCATGTTCTTTTCTGTAACAAATTATTTCTACAGCACTATTTGGAAAACATCTGTTTTCAATGAATGCAACAATATAGTTACCTATTCACAGTGAGAGGCAATGGATTTCATATTAATATTATCAAATGAATGAAATGCGTAGCATATTTGTCATTAAAAAAATATAATTATAATGAAGCACACCAATAAATTCAATAAGTAGCATGATTGTTACAAACATTATGGGGTGCTTTAGCTTTTTATAAAAGCAGTTTTAAAACTGCTGTACGGAAATTAACTTTTCCGAAAGTTGCTTTGAGCATTATAAATACTTAGGTGCTGTTTGGAATCAACTTTTATTTTAGGTTTTCTGTTTTCAAAAACAAAAAAGAACAGTATTTGTATTTCTGTTTTTTATTTTAATTCTTAATTTTATTTTTAAACAAAATGCGGCTGTTCCTAAAACACCCAAAACACGGAAAACGTGTTTTTATCTGTTTCAAAAACAAATTGGAGGTGGTTTGGCTTCTCCTTCGGTCTACTGCTTGGCACAAAGGAGAGGGGCATGACAAGAGGGAGTCGCGTGAGTGGGAGAACGGCGAGAGGGGAAGGAAGTCCAATGCGGATCACCGACAGCACGAAGGAGCGAGGCGACGAGGATTCGCGGCAGAGAGGCGAAGGGCCAAGGTTTTGACCGTGAGAGCAGGGGAGAGGCTAGGGCATTGTGACCGAGAGGAGTAGGTGCGAGAGACCGCTAGTCGCCAAAGGAAGGCTCACTGACGGTGTTGTCGCTGCGGCAGGGAGATCCGCCGCGTAGAGGGAGCTTAGGAGGGGTTTCAAGCAAAAACCAAGAAAGGTGTCGTGTGTGAAATTAGGGCCTGCGCGATCCTCCTGTAGCATGAGAGAAAGAGAGATTTTATCCTCTCCTCTTTTTTCGCAAATGACATATATGTAAATGCCAATTATACTAAACTAATTTTTTTAAAAAGTATAGCTTTTCATTAAAAAATAGAAAATACCCAACCAAACATGTTTTCTATTTTTTGTTTTCAAAAACAAATAAATCATAACATCATCAAACGCATTTTTTAAAAAACAGAACAAAATAAAAACAAAACATACAAAAAAAACTGAAAGTGGTCCCAAAAAGGGCCTTAGATTTTAACAAAATTCTAAAAATAACTTTCTTACAATTATCATATCTTAGTAAATCTAATTCTAAAAAGTAGTTTCCCAAAATAATAAAAAAAACTCTATAAAATAGCGAGAAAATAGTAGTTAGAGCCAAGTATGATAGCAATATAAAAAATAAATTAATGAGAAAACTATCCCAAGCAAAACCTACAACATGCAGTTCACACATCAATAGCAAGTGGTAATCAGGGGAGCGGTATGATCATCATCAGTAGGCTACAAAAAGCGTCATGTCTATTTTATGTGAAAAAAACTAGTAGGTTTCCCTATAGCAAGATCAACATACAAGAGCACAATTCGAAGGAAGGCCATATTTTCCAAAACCCAAATTTAAATAGTAGATCCTATAAATAAAATCAAGTTGAGCCTTGCATATAGTTTTTCGAGCAATCATTTTGGTCCTTAAATAGACTAACTTTCACGTGCATCTATTGTGAATAATGGAGATCAAAGCCTCTAATAATCAACATTTTGAAAGAGTCCAACCCAACCTTATTGAAACTCTTAAAGATAGTTGATGGAGGAGAATAATGATTGCATTTTTCAGTAATGTCTTAGAAGAGTAATATGAAGATCTCAAATTTTTAAGTGATCAAATAACGAGCGCATTTGTGATAATAAATCAACTTTTTTGGCAAATAGTTTGGAGAGAACATTTTTGCCAATTGAATGAATCCGATATAAACGAACGACGATGTTGTGCTAATTTTACATGGACCTAGAGATAAGTGCTTAAAGATGAATGAATTACAAAACAACTGACAAGAGAAGACATAATTTAGTGAAGTCTGAACCGTCCAAAGTGAAAGCCACAGTGATGGAAGAATGCCGATGGAAATAAAAAAAAAAACTGAAGTGTCTCCTGCTTATAGCAAGACCGAAAAAAGGAAATAGATCCTCACCATACTGTTTAAAAGAGACACAACCATGGCAAACCTTACCAAAACCCTTTCACACAAAAAGGCATGGCGGCACAATGGGGTTTGGTTAATCCAACAAAACCAGTTTGGCTCCATAGAGCCGATCGAGTTTGTTTGAGCATTAAATCTTATCCAGGCATATACAGACTTAATAAAGCATGCTGTATAAGGGTTAATCATGCCATTATAAGCTTGTTTGGGCATCAAATTAATCAAACAATGCTAAATTAGTCCTTCTAGGTCATCTTAAGATTCATGCTTCATGCCAAAACTTGTTCTAAATCTCATAGAGGTTTTTATAATCCAAACAAGCTTCACTTAACCCTTATTACACCACCATAAATTTAATGTGAACACTACATATCTTTCAAGGAAATTGTGATAGTCCAATTAAAAGCATAGTTATAAAAAATGGTGACACCACTAGTTATTGTAGCAACTTTTTATTCTTGCTGCAAAAAAAAACTTGAAAATTTCATCAATCATCATGATAGAAAGATGATGATACAATAGTGGTTCATTAATCAGACAACAGTAAAACTCTAAGTTTTTAATTATATAGAGAAATCCATGCTGACGATCGCTAGAAACCAATTTTGGTTATCTTGACCTTTTTTTCTACTTTCAGCAAGATAATGTGTGATCCTGAACATTTTTTTGTTACCTTTATCACCATATGTCTTTGCCTGTTTCTCACGAAGTATTTAAATTCATAGAATTGCCAAACCTCTCATGCAGAACTCAAAACCATTTTTTGACATCAATCGGATACTCACACAATCAAATTGTACAACCCATCACCATACAATATTTTAAATGCCTTCACTTCAACTAAGAATAAGAAGTTTTAGTTTCTACAACAAAACAGGCTAATTATTCACACGCAATGAAAAGAATTCTTCCACCAAGTTAACCATGAAAGATTTGTATATTCAACTAAAACAATTTAACAACTTTCCTCATATTTACCCTTGGCAACAAGCATTGCCAGTTTTTATTGGGATAATCATAAATATCCAATGAAATGTTTGATTCACAAACATTTCCTATTTATTGTTGGGATATTATGAAATGATGGCTGTTTAATTAGTGATACCTATAAATAATAATTTCATAGATAACTTCAAGCTTAGTTTGCAGCATCAACATTTCACGCTAAATTTGTGTGACATCAAGATGTAAAGTTATATAAAAAAAAGGACAATAAATCATAACCTTTGTGGATTATTGCAAATAACGGTATTACTTGTAAAAGAAACCATCAAATAAAGCAGTGTATTTGATAATTAGCATTGTTATCTGAATAAAATTGCTCTTTAAATAACATTTCTATCAAGATAGTAATGAATAAAAAACAATTCCAAAAAAAAAACAAAGAAAAAAAAGGAAATTTAGGGACCATTTGGAATCTTTTTTTTTTCTTTTATCATTTAAAACATGTTTGTAATATATTTTTCACTTTTTTTGGTTTTTAAAATAAAAAAAAATTTAAAAAATATTCAGAATAACTTTTAAATTTTTTGAGTTTTAAAAACAACTAAACATGTCTCAACAAACCATACATATTTAATTTCAAATCAAAATAAAAACAAAATAAAAAAAAAATAAAAAATAGGAATTAAAAAAAACAAAAAACGCGCCCAAATGGCTCCTTATTTGATCAATTAACATACTTTATCGTACAACCAACAAAATTCACATTATAACGAGTATAAATTGATTTAAAAGTATCTTTTTGTGACAAACAATTTAGTTATTAACTATTAATTTTCTTAGGTATGGCTAAATATAATGAATTAAATAGTTAAAATGAATATTTCTAAAATACTTTGACATGACAAACATCTACAAAAGTAGCTCAGAACTATGAGATTAAACAACAGATACTTCTGAAACTAAAACTTTCGTGACAAAACAAGCCTATATTAAAACAGATTCATAAAATTTAATGAAAGTCTCTAGCCTCAGAAAAAAATACTTGCATCCCCTTTCTACAGAGCAACCTCTAAATACATACCATTGCACTTGAATCAGGATGAGCGTATTTACAAGAACGGCGGTTACAAGCATTCTTCAGAAAATCCTGACATACTGGTACAATTTCGTGATCTGAAAGTGCATAAATCATGAGTATAAAATAGAAAAAATTGTTCAGAGTGGAGCTCTAGCATTTCAATTATTGAATTTGACGATTCTCAGTTGATTTATTCTACAGTTTTTTTCTAGCAAAGGGAAGTTCGAACATTTATTTTTTTGGAAAATTTAGATACATATCACATTTATTATGTATTTAGATATCTAACACCTAAAGTTTGATATCTACATTTATAATAATTTGCTGTAATAAACTTATGCATGAAAAAGTGTATTTTACTTTAAAAAGTTTGTAAGAATGTTATTTTGATGTGATCATAAGGATTTGAGTGCCATGTACGTAAATAAGAAATTTTGGATATTAGATATGCACATACACGAGTATTGTGAGGTATGTATGCAAATGCCACAATTAATTTTCATCAGGAAAATATTCACTGTACCAGATTGATTGCGCGTTCAAAATGAACACACTTGGCAAACGTCAAATGATAAACATAACGAAATTGCTATCTTCTGTACATAAACAATTCCAAATAAAGAATAAAATAAGTGCAAAAAAAAAAAAGAAATTATGATCTGGCTCCTCAGCAATAGGCATACCCTAATGCTAAAAAAAGAAATTAAAAGCTGCGTGGAACTGAAAGGTTATGAAACTTCAATTGGAAAGAGGCACACATTACAAAGTTGTGTTTATAGTTGTACCGTTTCCTGGTTGAAGATAACTTGAAAGCTTATCTGATGATCCAAGATATCTTAAAGCCTTAAAAAAAAAAAAGAGAAATAAAAGTTATCAACAAAATTTAAATTAAATTTAATATTTGGAGAAAAGCATATGCACAAACAGCAGAAGCATATAAAATTTGAAAGAAAGTTGCTAATTTGAACAATTTGAGACAAATATACACTAAATAATTGTTATGTAATCGATGATATTTTGGATATAAGAGCATACAATATGATCAAGTATATCAAATTTATTCTCATAAGTTAAATTCATCGAGATGTGAAGGGAGACAACAGAAAGATGATAAGACTATTCATAACTATAAAGTAGATATTGTGGTTAGACTATTGTTTCTCAACACTGCAATCTAAAAATTCCTTTAAGCTAATCAACAAGAACCAATCGTTCTTCTTTTAAGATCAATGCAGAATATTTGCTAGCCAGACAAATTGTCCCACCCAATATTAGCACTCACATTTTTTGTGGATAAATACGACTAATAAATTCTAATCAACATCATCATTGATATGAAACACCCATCCATCAACATTGCAACTTATACTCGCAGTCTATAAAAGAGATTGAGGAGCTATATAAAGATCAAGTGGAGGGAAAATAGGGGAATTCTTCACCAGATTCTTTCTCCGTCATTCTATCAAAACTAAAACTCAAAATGTTATATTCCTTTGAAAAACATATTATAAGTTGTCTCTCACCCATTTTACGTGAGACTCTAAATTTGATTTTTTGTTTCTAAATCCCTTAAAACTCCAAATGGACACTTTTTTGTTGTCCACATTAGGCATCATTTTTTTTGGAAAACAGGAGAAAAATGAAAGCCATAGGAGAAAAAAATGTTGAAGGAACTCAAATTTCATCATCCCAAAAAAGAAATGTGATGCCATTCAGCGGACGAGAAATCTCAAATCTAGTAACGATCGTTCCTATAATTATGCAGCTGAAGCATAAGTTGTTGAGTTGTCTACTCAATTAATATCCTCATCCAAGCAAGAGAAATTGGAGTTCCAATTGGACTAGCATGACAACCAATAGTCAAGGCACAAGAATGTAATTAAGCTAGATGCATCACGGTAACAACATTATCAACCCAACGGTTTCAAACCATGATGTCAACAACATATTCTTTGTTCCCTTCAAAATTCTCACAAAAAAAAAGAATTTAGACCCAATTCCTTCAAAAGAAAAGTGCCTCAAATTAATAACTAAAAAGGCCCAATGATTTAAAGGAGCAATTATGTTGCGCTTTGCACATGATGAGAAGAGATATCAAAGGCTTTTACAATACTAAATGATTTTGTCTGAACTTAATTGTCTAAATTGCCTCCAAGAAGCATTTCTGCTTTCAACAAGCTAAAAAAATAATACATCACATAATTCTCAATCTCATAAAGGTTTTTGAAAGTTCACACAAACTCCTTTATCTTTCACCTGAGCAACACAGCAAGCCACAAATGTTCATCCCTTTGTGGCAAGGGTGGCAATTGTCCTTCCTTTAAAGGAAAGCCATTTCGAGTTAGATGTGACAATGAAAGCTTTAGAGAAAATAAAGGATATACCACAGAAAGTAGCAAAATCCATGAGTATCAAAGAGTTACATGGCATGTCAAGTCCATCCCCTTTAATAGCAATCACTTAACTACCTAAGAAGCAGAATAAAGGCCAATCAATACAATCAAAGCCTATTGAGTACCAGCACAGCCAAATGAATTTTTTGGATCAAGGAGGCTTGCCTAAGAAGCACAATCATCATAATTTACTACCGTTGCCAACGTCATAAATTTAGAACCTTCTATGATTATTGAATAGCCCAATATACTAAATCAATATGACAAATCAGAATAATGAAAACTAATAGTACCATGTCCCATAAAAAAAGAATTTGAAGAGTAAACAATCAAATTCTCATCATAAAGACGATAAAAATCACGGTATTGATGATTGTCGCGTAATGAAGACCACAAGCAAAATGCTAATCAGGCAGAGGCGTGTGAATCAATTCTTACCAATCTGTGCAGCAAACCAGCAACCTCCAAACACCAATCAGAAAAACCCAAAGGGGAAGCTACCCAGACAAATTAAATTGATTACCAAGGGAGTTGATTATGAATATACTCGACAAAAGGAGATTAAATTATTTTGAATATATTGAGATAAACCCTGTACCTACTCACCAATCTTTTCTCTTTCAAGTTATGATGATCTGTCTGGACATGTAAAATGACTTCATTACATTAAGACTAATAGTCGATCAATATAAAACATCAAAATCTGGATCAATATCGAGAGCTCATAAAAATACTATTCTTTCATTTGGTTGAGAAACTTATAGCTTAAACGTTGGATATTAATAAAGCTCATGGCGGATCCTTTATCATATCAAGCATGAGTCACCTCCGGGTCCAATTACTATAAAAACCACTTAGGGTAATTAAAAATCCTACAAGACAAGACAAATGGACTTATAGTGTTTTGTGATCCCCAAACTAACAGCATTGTTGATGGAAGTAAAATGTAGGATCTTGAAAATGAAGGTGCCTTGAATGTTTGGTGATGGCTTGGGAAGACATTGGTGAGATTAAGTAAGAATTTGGGAAGATTATGGATTGATATTGATTATTGAATAAGTTGAATGTCACAAAGTTGGATGGAAATATATGGGAAGCTTTTGGTATGTAGTGGTTTGTTGTGGATCTTGGGTAATGACTAGTTAAGAGTAGCTAAGAGATGGGGAGGGCTAGTGAGTTTAAGAGGGTTGTTAAAAAGGTATGAGAGTAGCAGAGGGGTTGAGGAAGTTAAGAAGGGCGAGTCAAAATGTGAGGGGAAAGATTAAATTTTTTGGGCGTGGATGAAAGGGGTTGGTGGTTTGTGAAGGTATGAAAATGTTATAAAAGCTCCTAATAGTGTTATAAATAGGTGCTATAAACGGTAAGTGTATGAAAATTATATATTTAATTTCTTCAAGTGCACTACAATTACACTAAAATAATCCAGGGGAAATCATCTCCTTGTACCAAGTGAGGCCCAGATTTCTAACTTCGATAAAATGTATCATTAGGCTAATTTCGTCTACATAACTTATTATTGACTAGTAGTCCTGCTTTTGTTTAAAGTTAGCAAAACTAAAATTCTACTTGTGGTGACTAAATTACAATTGTTGGTTGATTTTGTGTCGTATGAATTTTTTAGTGATTTGTTTGAATATATTAAACTATTGCATTATCATTTGAGTTCTAATCTAGTGTTTATTGTTTGCATTTACAAAAAACAGTTTTTGGCTTATTCAATGGCTTGTGACCTATGAACTAAAAGTTACCCTATGAAATCTAAATACATTGCATCATTCTAATTGCATTAAAATATCCTAATGCTAGCCTTCTGGTACAGAAAATTTCCATGAATTCCATCATATAATCGTCATCATAACAACCACAATTTCCTTCATTGCACCCCACTCCTTTGTTTCACAAAATCTAAATATAGTATGGACCATCAATTTGCCAACTCGGGCAACTTCACTATGTGCCTCTTTCCCGTCCTTCAATGTATATTCATCTCTATTCATTACAACAAACTTCAAGAAGGGAGATCACCTATCACCCTGGTGACTATTCCTAGTCAAAAATTCAAATATTTCACATTTTGCTGGAGGAACAGAGAAGTAAAATTAATCTGGAAAGAAGCAAACACAAATCATATGTTTACCATCGGATCTTTAGTGTCCTCCATGCCAATTTCTTTACGAAGTGACCTACGGAAGCAAAATGACACAAATTAGCCTTTATAAAGAAGCCAGTCTTTTCAATAAAAAATAAAAGGAACACTTATATACATAACACCCAATACTTTATGTATTCACATATCTAACACCTAAACTTTACTTATTACATTTATACAAAACAAATCTTTCACATCAAAAATATCAATATTTTAACTTTTAAAAAATGAAATACATATTTTCGTGCATGAATAACATGTCATATATGTAAAAATTGAAGTTAGCTGTTGGATATGTAAATGCATAGGAAATAAGTGGTATATATGTAGAGCTTCCAAAATAAAAAAGATGGGAAAATTTTTCAGTTGAAGTGGTTTGAGCCTGAAACTGAAACCCTGAAGAAGTTCAAATAAGAAAGAGAAAGAATGTACGCCTGCATCTGAGGCGGAGGATGGAAGTAACGGCATGTCCGGCCACGGAAGCATTTGTCACGTAACGAGTCAATGCAAACTACCACCCTATCTCTAAAAATCCATGTAAAGTTGGTGAGTTTAAAGAATTATGGAGAAAGGGAAAATAAATAGAGAATGGAATGACGAAGTAACACACTGCTCGATGGTAACGGTGGAAGGGGGATGGGCGAACTTGCAGTCAATTTCAGGTCGTCTGCAGGTTCTGCGGATAAATTCTTTACAGACTTCGACTGATAGGTCATGCCGCTGATGCTGATTGTGGCTGGCTTTAGCATCATCACTGTCATAACTAGGGCTCTGAGAAGAGGATTGCTGGCGCTCGTATGAGGGGAAAAACAGAGAATCATCATATTCCATTGATAGAGAGTAGTCACAACCGGGGAGAGATTACGAAAAAAGAAAATCAAATAATTATTTGCAAGAGCACAAAAACTTGTTCTTACAATCGGATCTTTGGTGTCCTTCATGCCAATTGCCTTGAGAAGTGACCTGGAGGAAGCACGTGAAACGGGTTAGGCCAAATAAAAAAACAGTCTTTAATAAAAAGGAAAAAATAAAGTAACCTGAAAGCAGAACCCTAAAGAAAGATACAGGACGTACTCCTGGATATGAGACGGAGGATGGAAATAAGGGCAGTTCCGGCCACGGAAGCACTTGCTGCGCAGTGAGTCGGTGCAGGCTATCACATTCCCCCTGAAGATCCATCAAATGAGTTTAGGAATTGTGGAGAATGGGACAAAAAGGAAAGGGGATTGGAATGGGTAAATAAAGTAACACACCGCTCAATTCTAACAGCAGAGGGAGGATGGGCGAACTTGCAATCTATCTCGGCTCGTCGGCAGCCGCTTCGGATGAAGTCCTTACAGACCTCGACTGTAAGGTCATCTCGCCGATGCTTGCCGCGGCTGACATTGGCATCGTCGCTGCCCGTACTAGGGCTTGGGGAAAGTGATCGCCGGCCCTTGCGGTTAAGGCGATAAAGAGAAGAAAATTAGAGAATAGTGCGGCGGTTAAGCCTGTGAGAGGAGAACGAAAAATGGCGGGAAAAACTAGTTATACGCAAAAGCACAAAAAAATTGTTCTTACCACAGGATCTTTGGCGTCCTCCATGCGAATTGACTTGCGAAGTGACCTGGTGGAAGCACAAAACTGCGAGTTAGCCCAGTCATAATTTTCAATAAAAATAAAAAATTCGTAGGAAAAAATTCCATTTGAAGTAATTCGGTCTGAAACAGGAACCCTAATAAGAAAAGTATGAAAGTAAGAAAGAGAAAGAAAGTACTCATGGATATGAGGCGGAGGATGGAAGTAACGGCAACTCCGTCCACGAAAACACCTGTTGTGCATCGAGTCGGCGCAGGCTATCACCTTACCCCTAAATATCATGAAAGAGTAATGAGTTTGAAGAATCTTGGAGAAAGGGAATCGATGATTAAAGTACCGCACCGCTCAATGGTAACAGCGGAGGGGGGATGGGCGAACTTGCAAACGATCTCGGCTCGCCGGCAGCCGCCGC